TATTTTGAACCGCCTTTTTCAGTTATAATATCAATATATCAATTGATGTTTATTGTTGATATTGGCTTGGAGCCCCCTGTGTCGTTGCGGCAATACTTTGTGGGAAAATATTTTTGATCTGAGCTTTAAGAAATCTTTAATTTAGTCATTTGACAATAACTCTAAAAGTTTACATATATTGAAGTTCTTCACTTGAATGACAGAAGCTGGAGCTGGCCTCACATTGTGTTATGCTCATGTTTCGTGTCTTGGTCTTACCGCAGTATTCCTCATTGAAAGACAGATGTCGACGGTGGCTTCATTTGTTATGAACTGGTGCTTTTGTGGGTGAGCACGGATCTCGTTGAGTTCCAGATCACATTAATCAAGAGGCAAATCCTCCCATGCAGATGTCTCTTTTTGCGGATGCGTATGAGTAAGCATGGGTTGCGGAGTGTACCTACGTGACGGCTCTCTGACTGATGGAGTGCGCTTGAGTTTAGGGTGGTTTCAGTCTGGTAATTTTTCGACTATGACCCTATCGTGAATATTAGCGTATTTTAGGTGCAACTACATTATTGGCCAATCGGGAAAACTCACCGAGGGCGCTAACCATATAGTGTTTTAAGAAAATTGAGAAAAGGAATTTATAGAAAATCCTAGTACTTGAAAATAGAAACGCTACTCTTGAGATTGTTACCATACTCAGCACCGCTCAGCAAACCTCCGGGCGCTAGCTTTCGCATCTCCAACAAAAAGGCTTGGCTTCTTTAATTTCCATCCCTCCCATATTTGTGTGACTCATTGTTAATACTTTGGTACAGATCTCTCAAATGCCGCTAACTCCACAATATTCCACTCTACCAACACATAAGGTAACCAATTAATCTGGGAACCTTAGATTGTACGCCGATAAAGCAATAATTTAGGCTATTCATCGTTTATGTATGTATGAATTCAAACCCATTTACAGCATTCCAATTTAGCATCATTTAAGAGTGCTTCTCGTGCCAAAAAATTGTAGATTTTATTGTAAGTTTACCCGTCTCTCCGATGTTTTAGAGCTTGGCTTATTCTTACAAAGGGTTTTGAGTCGGAGACGTCGGTAAATAGGTTATTTTCATCAACGAAGTATACCATCATTGGTGTTACTAAAGCCATGAGAGAGCAATGTAGAGTTCGGTAAGCCATAATAAAAGTCGCTATTCACATCGGTTATATCTAGAATGGTTTAACTATGCAAGGAATACAAACTCTAATGAAATGTATGAATATGTGAAATCAGCATTTTATCAAGATTTTCAAAAATTACATGCCTAAATATTGTTCAAGAACCGCCATTGTTTTGTTGTTTGCGCCCAGTAACGAGTTATCAACACATTTTCAGGCCTATTTTTTTATGCATTGTCTGCCTGTACGCACAAGAATTGAACTAGAGGTTTGATGTTGGGGATTTTAGGGCTTGCTTCTTAAGGCGAATCCAGCGTATGATTAAAGTGCCACTGATTTATAGATAAAAATTTTCTTTTTAAAATATTGTAGGGTTTTGAGCACCCATTCAAAACTGAAAATGGGTGTTGGGAGCTTGATACAAAGAGTTGCTTGTTTGTGTAAAGATCACAAGGTAGATGTGTGAATAGGAACTTACACCACTTGTTAGTTACTCAGACAGTCAAGGGATCGAAATGCGAAAAGCGCTCGGTTGAGTGGACGAGCGTGGTGATTTCGTGGATAACACTGTAGCTGCCATTGTCAGTACGGTTGATCATCTGCCCCACTACGAATGCCAGATCTTCACTAGCACTGTCTATGGCGGCAATCCGCACCGGACAGCGTCTCACAAAGGCGTAGCGATTGGTCAGTGTGTCGCAGGAGGCAATAGCACGACGTCGCCTCCACTCGGCCAGATGCGAGTAGCCGTTGTAAATACAGTCAACATTCCGGGGATACATATCCATGAGCAGTTTGACCGCTTTAAAGGGCGCTGGAAGCCACATCTCACCAAAGGGGCGGTACATCAGCGGAAAAATATCCTCCACATGGTACACATATCGCTGGAGGTTATATTTTTCCAATTCAAAGAGGTATTCACCATCGATTTTGTAGTAGCAAATATCGAGGTAGGGCCAACCATAGTTTTTCCTCGGGATCTCCCTCGAGCCCTCTGCGTCCACATCATTCATACTTGCTGGCAGAATTGACATATAGAGTTTGTCTCGATATCCGCTTGGAGCAATAAGGTATCCTTTATTGCTGTGCTTTTTAATACTGTCTTGAATAAATTCTCTGTACTTGATGTCCACGAGTACATCGGCTTCATCATCCCAAGGAATGAAGCCGTGGTGTCGGAGGGATCCGAGAAGAGTGCATGAGCTAATGAACCACTTATCCTCCAAATTACTCTTCCGCATTATTTCCGCAAAGAGGGTTATGAACTTCAAAAGCATGCCACGCTGGGTAGCTGTCATTCTGGGTTCGAAGAATTTGGACCGATAGAGACTGTTAGGATTAGGGGAGGGTGCGGAGTCAGGTAGAGGCCAGGGAATCTGGGTAAGGTTAGGAAGGAGGCCCGGAGTGTAGGCTGGCTTTACGAAGAACGCCTCTGGTGGTGAGATACTTTGAGCCTCCAAAAATTTTTACATCCTTGCAAAGGGGAATGCGTTGGAAAGGCCCGTAGTACCACAGTGATCCAAAGAGAACCACGTTGCAGGTCAACAGAATTCCTGTTACTACTGACTCTTGCACTGCAAACGGAAGCATACTGCTACAAAGAAAGGCAAACCAACATTCAGAAATGTAAAAGTATTTGAAATAAATTTTTTAAAGAGAAACTAAGCATAGTGACGATACGGCAAATTATTATTGAAGCTTTTTAAATTACAACACAATCAGGTGAGTAATTATGCCTACATAAATACGGTTCAGATAGCTTATTCGCAATCAGAGAAGAGAGGGTAGAAACTCTTTATCACGTAGTAAGATACAAAAATCATTCGGTATTACAAAGGAGACCTATAATACGATATTTGGCAAGTCATTAATAAATCATCATTGCCTATAACCCATTATAAAATACCGTCAGTTGTGATGTGGTGCTTATTACAAGGTTAACTACTCTTTTAATACTTCAAATACAATGAAAGATAAAATGATCGAGACCTTAGGTAGAACTGCATGAAAATTGGTATTTCATAGAGCATACAAGTCTTACAGAATAAAAACGATAAGTGTAAATGAGAAAAATATGCCCTTGTTACGCCTTTAGTCACACAAAATTACCTCAGTCATGAAGTGTCCTTTTGTAATTCCAATATATATTCTTACCTTGGAGTGGGTGGATAAAGCGATCGACCAATGAGACGTTGGATTCTTATAGGTCTTAACTAATCACACTCTACCTGTTATGCAGTGAAATCGTTATGCAAATTTATGCGCATTTATCTTTGACTGCAGAAATTGATTCATGATTATCTATGTCTTAAAGAATAAGCCAAGTGCTTTTTTTGATAAACCATGTTCGTTTGGATTACAAGCATGAAGTGAATGATGGGCTAGTCCAGAACAAATGAAGTTTTAATAAGAGGGGCATCATGCACTGAAGCAAGCTTAGGATTTGTTATTAAGTTGAAAAATTATCGAGAAGAATCCACATGTTGCAGTCAGCAGTTTAGAGCTTGGCTCTATTACAAATGCCAACCCTATTCAAACCTGAAGCTGAAGTTATATCCAAGTGTATTTAATACTACACCATTAAGTTTAGTTTTGCAAAAAAGGAGGCTAATCAAGTGGTTGCTTTGATATTCTGGTCTCTTAGGAAAAACCTGAACATTTGAATTATTAGTTTCTGCTGGCCATCGTAAGTTTACTATAAACGTGTTTTAATGCAACAGTTCGTTAGGGAACAAATAACCCAAATGCCGATAGAATCTATTTATAGAGCACTTATTCTGAGGTCTTTTGAATAAAGGGTTTACACACTTGTCATACAAATTCAGCGATCACAATGGATCCTGATTAACATTTCATACTGACACAACAGACGAAGCTGGCCATGTAGGCTGCTGGTGAAATTCACGTGATACAACGCAGCTGTGTAGGATAAAGTTTCTATCACTAGTTCATTTGAGGATTCATCGAGAAATTGTGCAACATTATCTTAAGCTATTTACAATCCATTTGCATTGATGTGAAGATGCAAAAGTCAAAAATACTCGCACAAATTAGCAAATATTGAAAAATGGCAAAATGCGAATAATCAAAGTCGTGGTTTCTTGAGATGCGACTGGAGGCCGTCACACCTCACTTCCACCGCTTTGTGCGTGGCCTTGAGACAGATACAAGGCAGCATAGTGTCTACTTTTAGACTCGAAGGAGACGTTATGCCTGGTGTCTATTTTAGCATATGCTCGCAGACTAAAGTGAAGATACTTGTGGACACACATCCAACCTAGTGCTATTAAACATATTTAAATGGGTTGACTGTTAATCCTACCATTGGTTATGATATGTACGCTTTATTGTGCTTCAAACATGAGGTGGTGAAAAAATGTACACCGTAACACTTTTAACGGTAACATTAGTAAAGATGTCGGATAAAGGGGGACGACATCTTGAAAAAAAGTTGGTTAGTGTGTTGGCTAGAAGAGGTAGTAGTCAGCCGAAGCTCTCTGTCCATACCACCCAATCTTAGCCCATGAATTAATCAAAAATCCATTTTTACTTTATTCAACTGGTTAAACTGGACGTGTCGTAGTTAATTTTAAACAAAAAAATAATACCGAAATCATTTTTTGAAATCGCTCTGCATTGTAGTTTTTTAGCAACACCTAATTCAAACATTGTCAAAGAGGATCTCTATTTCATCATGCATGCTAATAAGGTTTAACGAGTAGTGACCTTCAAGATGATTTTACCACAAACCTACACCCAGCTAGACAGCGTAGCGTTTACAAACGTGATACAAGACAGTTGCACAGAGGTCATTAGTGTGCTTGATGCCAAACAAGAGGTCGTAAAAACAAGCTCAACGTTCAGTGCACATTCCTATAAAAAAATTAGAGAATGTAAGGTCTAGTGCATTATTCAGTTAGGAAGACGTTGTGGTTAGTTAGTATTCCTGTTACTGCCAGTGTACAGCATGTCATCATGTGTGTCAGCGGTTCAATTCTGCATCAACGAATTAAATTACGTAAGGTGGAAATAAAAAAAGGAATATTTATTAGTTCTGATAGGGTAATAAATACTCATAACGCATATAGGTGGTCAAATCAAAAGGGTTTTAAAAAAAATAAGAATGTTTGATAATGACTGTCTCACATCAGTGCATGTCAAAGGCATCCTATGATAGTATGCATTGAGGAAATGGAGAAGCCGCGGTCCATAAAATAGGTAAAGTAATCACAGCACAAGATAGGAAAAAAGCAAGTAAACTTGCAGATGTAAAAAACTTCAGGACAAAAAACCTAAAGAAAGTAAATATTTCTTGCAAATAAAAGAGATCCACACCTTCAATTGAGAACATTGATGGCACCCAAATCATGAGCATATTCGTGTGATTAATTAACGCGACAAACGAATCACACTTAAAATTGTCATTATTATTATTTTTTAAATGACTGGTAGAACAGCAATATATGGGAGCGTGTACTTAAGAAACAAAAGCTAGCAAAGTGCTGCCAATACATCTATGTTGGATATCTATTATTATTGG